AAAAAATCCCTTTTCATGAATAAACTTTATCAAAACTAAACACAGAAAGATTAGCCCAGCTATACTACATGTGCTCAGTTCCCTTGAAGGTCCACAGGAGATACAAGGAAGGTTAAAGTTCACTACTGTTCCTTTCACTCACTCTTTGAAGAGACCTTAGACAAATCACCATCCTTGCTCTTCAGAGTGTGTTGTGTGGACCAGCAGCATCAGCATCACCAGGGCCTTGTTTGAAATGCAGAGTCCCAACCTCCCCCGACACCTAATAATGAGTCAGCTTGTGCATTTTAACAAGATCCCTTGTGATGTGTATGCACAGTCCAGCTTGAGAAACACAGGTTTAGTTCTGTAGTTCCCAGAAACATGCTCTGAGGAGGTGCAGGATCTGCAGACAGCACTCATGGCCCGGGGAGAGTGTGTGATAGGTGCTCCTCCATCACAATGGAGGGAGACCAACTGTGCAATCCTATTTGGGCTACAAGGTCAGATTTCATTGGAACAAAGGGTCTGTGACTTAAACACTTTTTTCAATGAAAAAATAAAATTTTAAAAAATTATAGTGTAGTTCATTGCATGTTTCAAATGTAGAAACTGAGTAACAAAGAAAACATGACTTTGCCTAAGTCCTGTGCTGGAAATTGACAGATGCTGTTTAAGTCTTCTGATTCCAGCTTCTTTCTACTTCCCCAGTGTTAATTGAAGAAAGCAGCACAAAAACACCAGAAATCTCCAGCCAACTGCTTGTCAAGTGCCCTCATGCACCACAGGTGTCTTCCAGCTGGGCCTTGAATTTCAAAATTGGTGCCTTTTCTTTACACTCATGCCTAGTAACTTCCTTTCAAAGCTCATCTAACCCAACAAAAAGCACTGTCTGCTTTGCTGCCTGAGAAGTCTCCAGCTGCAGTTTTGTGTACACTGCTAACTGAGGGTACCCTGCAGGTTTGTTTATGGATATTTCAGCTAATTATCTTGCCACCGACCACAGAGACAGATTTGGGTGACTGTTCAATTAAGAGTACTGAGGAGTAATTAGGGAGAACACCTGATTGCACAGCCCACTCCAATGCTGACACAGCAATGTGCACATCGACTTCCGAACGTGATTAATCACATAAATAACTCTGCGACATGAAATTGGAGCTCACCCACGCATTACACCCACTAATGTTTTAAGGCATTATTTCCTGAACCTCTGTAATGAATTATAATACATTCTGGTTTGGGTTTTTCAATTTCAGCACACGTTCTGCTCTGTAAGAAACTCATCCTGTGTCCCTATCAGGTTCTGCAGTAATTTGATTAGCTTTTCTAAAAAGAAGACACATTTGGACATGACCAAGCCTTGAGAGAGACATATAAATGCCAGGTTGTGACCACAGCACTTCGTGCCAGAGCCAGACCCCAGGTTTTTAGATCCCTCTGTCCGTGGGATAGAGGCCTCATTAGAGCATCAACATTAAAATTTTTTCTATAAGAACCAAATATTCAGCCATTCCTTCACTGTCATAAGATGGCCCCCATTATTGTCATTTAGAAGAAAATCAGAAGTTGTTAACAGAATCTTATGGAGAAAAATGTCTGTTCTCTTCCTTTCCTTTGTTCTTACTTTCATGTAAATGTGTTTCATTATGTAAATCTCAATAGGAACACACACAAAAAAGAAAAAAAATTTTGAACACCTGAAGATCAACATAGAAAAGCAATTTCAGTTAGGACTAATTTATATAAATTTCCCTTAAATTTAGAAATCTTAAAAGTTTGTGGAGAGAAGCAGGAGGGATAACGATCAGAAGAACCACCATACAGAGTTCTTAATCATTATTTTTTCCACAATACTAAAGTCAATTATCTCAGGCAAGCAGTATAAGGATCCTATGAGTTTCAAGAACAAACCCTTAAATAATATTTTACAAATGAGGAGACAAAGGCTCAAAGAAATCATGTGATTTAAGATCATATAATTGATTTGTGTGATACATGAAAGTATTCTAGAAAGCAAGCATAACTTTGGAAAAGTTGTTGTTCTTTGTTTGGTATCCTTAGGGCTAAGATGGAAATATCAAGGAAATGTAAAAGAATGTAAAATTAGACCAAATGTTTAAAACTGCAGTTGTATGATACTTGTTAGAGTTCATTATGAATTTTAAGATATTATTATTGAAAAGGTCTTTTAATCTAGGCACAAATAAAAGAGTAATCTTGAGTAATTTTTGTAGCTACATGATATCTGTTCTATTTTGTTCAACTACAAAATGTTTATTTGAAACCTGTATCAAATCTTGCTTTTCCATATTTTCCTCACCTGTCCAACCTACACTGAAAATCCCTTTTCTCTGAAATGACTTTATCTTCCATATGAACCAGAAACTATGTTTCTTTGGTCATATGTCCTTCAATACATCTAGCACCTTACTAGATATTTCAAGTGTTTTATAAATAATTTGTGCATTGTCATTGCCCCCAATGATTTCACTTCTAAGAGTTTATAAAAGGAACTAATAAGAGATATGCTTAGGTGAGCAGCAAAGATATTCATTGTAGCATTATTTATATTGTCAAAATATTTGGAAAAGTACCTCAAATATTAAGTTGACTATATAAATCATGATTTAATGAGAAATGATATACACTACAGATGTTTAAAATAATTTTTTTCATGAGTATTTTTCAGTGTGTACTTAAGTGGAAAGTAAAGGAGCTCTTAAAACAGTATGTTCAATGCTTTCATGTTCCTAGAAATGCATGTAAGCGGTGTACACCAATAGTTGAACCAAATTACTCATGAGTGCTAGGATCTCTAGTGATTTTCAATGTTGTTGGGGTACTTCTATGTCTTTTCTACGATGAGTAGTAAAAAATCATGAGAACTTTCTAAGGCTATATAATTCAGAAAATAAGTTAGTATTGTGTTAACAGAGGAAACTTCACTGTCCGTATTTGTGTACTTTACGTTGAGAACCTCTGTGATGAGCTCACCAAGTACATAAGCATTATCATTAATCCTGCAATCTTTCCAACTAAGACAGAGAATTATTAACTTAGTATTTCTGACTTATTAACAGAATACTGAAGTTGATAATGTTATAGTTTTAAGGATGAAACAAAAATGGAACTACGTTCACAAATTTCAGATGAGCTATACACAACCCACTGAATGTTAAGAACTAGTTCTACAGTGGGGAAAATTAACTTTGGAAATAGATAAACCTTGTGTTAAATCTTGGCTCTGCCAGTTGCTAACTTCACAGGTTTGAGCAAAATGTAAGTGACTGGGTTGTACAGATCAAATGAGGTCCTTTATATAAGACACCTAATAAGCAGGAAATACTGTTAGAACTTAGCAAAATATAATTTTCACAAGCATCATCATCAATATTCTTGTCATCTGTGCCTCTTGTTAATGAAAAGTCACCTGTAGCTTTACGTGTCTTTACGTGCTGGGCTGTACTAGCGCTGGTTCACACGGCTACACTTGCCAGCTCGGACCCACGCCCAGGTGAGCCTCGTAACGGCGGGGATTTGGAGCAAGACGTAGTTGTGCTGCTCGACTCGGAGAAGGCCTAGGGCAGTTGTGGCTTCAGAAGCCCCCTTGTAAAGTTACTGAAACCAGAGTGGGGTTATAGATAGTGAGTACAATGACGTGTTAGTGTTTTCCCACAAACAGGAGTGACCATCTCTACAGGTCCATCTCCCGAAAAGTGCTTTGTATATTTCCATTGATGACGATTTTCAGTTCCAACAAAGACACTATTTTGCTGCCTAGCTCTTAGTTTTAACTTGTTCTCTTGGAAAATAAGGATAATTCAGTTCCACTTAACTCATGGAATTTAATTGGCTATTACATATAAAGTATTCTGACCACATAATGTTACATAGACAGCACATGATGTTATTAGAAGGCAGAATGTAATTACCTTATTGGTATTTTCTCAGAAAGTAGGGCTGATACTCATTCTTACCTGATTGGAAAATTCTTCTACAGCCAATAATCGTTGACGCTGGAATGTAATTAGCAAATCTAGAAAGTGGCCAAATGCCAGGATATCTACACTGATATTTAATGTTTTTCACTTTAAAATTCCTTAGATAGAAATAAACTTCCTTCAATACTTAATACCTTATTTACTCCAAAACTGCAGGCAGTCTAATCAGTGGAGTAACAGTTTCTAGTGTCATTGTGACCATGAAGTACATGTTAGTGTGTCTGGTGCCATAACTTGATGATTCACTTCTATTTGTGAATCACCGAGGGCTTGTTTGACAGAGGGCATGCCAGGGAGAAATGCACTCCTCTGTCGATATAGATAACCTGCATTTTAGGACTTGTGTCTATATGTGCAGTGATTTGGTTCATAGGGTCAAGCTGGTTTGCATCCTCTGATGTTAGATTCAGTTTTCAGGGCATGATGGCTGTTAATTTTGAAGCACAAAAAGTCATATATGTAAAGTCTTAGCTTAACAAATAATTTCTTAAGACATTAGGTGGTTTTTCTTTTAGTTTATTTGCTAGAAAAATCTAGCACTTCCTTTGAAATACACCTCTAAGTACCCTGCAGAATTTCATGGCCTTATGTTTTGAGTGAATTAATGAATAAAGGGAAGTGATGCCACTATTGACTCCTAGAGAAAAGAGTCAGCAGCTACATATTAAAAAGACTTCTGTTTTATTACAGTTCATTTTTGCCTAGTAATATTTGGGCATGTACGGAATCTTGAAGACATAAATGTGCATAAGCCATAAAACTTGCCTTTGCAAAGTTCAGTCCCACGGGGGCAGGTATGGCAAATGGACTGTCACCTAAAAGACGCTGAGGGTGCCACAATGGACAGCCAGGCATGGGGCTGTGTGGGTGTGTAATTCCAACTGTGGTGGGAATAAGAGATAATTTTACATGTCACTAAATTTAATTCAGAAGTTAATTAAAATATTTGACAGATATATTTTTCTCCCGATGAGATCATCACCTTGGTGTTCATTATTTTTTCATCTTCTCTTTCAGAGACGCCCAAGCAGATGGCCTGCGATGAAGTTTCGAAGAGGTTCTGGCCATCCTGCCTATGCGGAAGTTGAACCAATGGGAGAGAAGGAAGGTTTTATTGTATCAGAGCAGTGCTAAGATTTCTAGGACAGAACAGCACCAGTGCTGGTTTACAGGTGTTAAGACTAAAATTTTGCCTATACCATTCAGACAAACACACACACACACGCACACACACACACACACACACACACACACAGGAGCCCTAAGCTACTGTAACCTGAAGAAAACAAAATTTTGGGACATGCTCCGCCCAGGAAAGGTACAAGAAAAACTAAAACTTACCCAAGATACTATTTCCACTGAACACAGAATTCCCTAGTGGGGTGGCATCTGTAGTTCACTCAGAATATCTCCTGTGGACTTATCAGAATTATGACAAGATTACAGTGCTATTGGCTTAGGTGCAGGGTTGCAAAGGGATCGAGAAAAAATACTAATAACAAAATGTAGCTCACAAGGGATCTACACCTTTGATTCAAATATTCTTCTCTGATGTCTCAAAGATAACTGTGTTCAAAAGCCTGAACCCTTTCACTCAAAAGAGCAATGATGAATGTTTCAAGACTGCTGAGAAAAATAGTTCATGAAGGAACAAAAACAAACACAAAATAAGAGATTTTCTATCTTTTCATCAGACGTGTGGCCAAAGGATTGTGGTTTTCTGGTCTAGATCTACCTGTTCCAACAAATTCATTACTTTATAGGATGAATCTTTGATCTGCACAGGAAGTTTAAACTATGCTTCCCCCTTTCTTGTTAATGAATGCCCTTTCTATGATCTGTAACAGAATTTTCAAACTTTTAGCCAAGGTTTAGGAAGGAGGGAGTAGCAAATGAGGCTTTCCATTCTCGCTCCTCAGAATAAAACTTCAGATTCGTTTTATGAAGCGTGAAGTCCTATGAAGCCACATTTGCTCTTGGCTGAAGGAAACAAAAGGATGAATAGCTCCATTGCCATTTTTGAAACAAAAATGTTAAGGGATTCTAAGTCTATGGGTATATTTTTACTTTTTGCCATTTCAGTACTAAAGGCCCATTTCATTGTCGATTCCTTTTGAAGAAGCCGTTCAAATCAGCCTATCCCTGGTGATAAAAAGAAGGAAAGAACCCTGCTGAATCATCCCATAATTTTCTTTAAAGCACATAGTAGTTACATAAATATATATATAAATATATTTTTGTTTATAACTAACACAAGGCAGGCTCTTGTGACTCTACGAGTGCATTTTGTCATCGAGACAAAACAAATGCAAGGAGCATTACTGCATACTTCCATGGAGTTGTAAAATAATCCTTAATATTAGAATATTTTTATGTCACTTAGCAAAAGTGGCTCAATTGGTTGCAGTGCAGATCATTTTCCTGCCTATTTGAGCCACCCTTTTGTTCATATCAACCCCTCCCTCCCCGGCTAAATAGAGCAGATGCCAAAAGCTCTTTCAATGAGCCGTCATTTGCCCTATAATGAAAATCCAGATTTTGAAATTTCCCCCTGAACGAAGATAGAAAAGAAATTCGTTTGAGGAGGAAAGTGGTTAATATATATACCGAGCTCCTAATGTTTAAAATTCAGGTACTATGTGTACAATTTCACTAACATCTTAACCCATGAAACTTACATCCTGTGCCAAGAAGCTGTTGGTTTTTGTAGGGTACAGTGTCTACCATTTGCAGATTCGGGTATTAAGAAGCAGAGATGTCTTCAACAGCACTTTACTAACAGCGTAGCATCTCTACACAGTGTTTAGGGTGAATGACATCAGTTTACTAACAGTATCATATGTATATTCACACTTGTCTAACATAAACTAGTGCCATTTTCCATCATATATATTTTGCTTTACATTTTTAAGTACCTGGTGAAGGTGGTAATTATTTCCCTAATCTACTTAGTTAAAAATTGCAAGAAAAAAAAATGACAAGCAAGGTGATTAAAGTATGTGATGACAATCTCTCTGCCGTAGCTTTGTTCAGTTTATATGATGTATCCCAACTTGCTTTTTTGTGGAGTAGGTTTGATCAGATAGAGATAACCAAATGACTTGCCAATGTAACTGGTGCAACTGGTATTCTACAAAGACATAAGGGACACATAGACGATTCCTTTTAGGATAAGATGATGCTTCTTTCACTAGCTCTTGTGGTAGGTGTGGCTTCTAATCGCAGTTGATTGACAGTTATATGAATCCTATCTATATATACAACTTCTTACACAATTCTTTGAAGCAGGAATGTTATCTTTATACCCTCCCATCTTCCACTTTTGATTCAAAAGAATTGGCAATTTTGTAGAAAAACATAAAAGCTTCTAAATTGTTCAGTGAACTAAAGCACCAAGTGATAGGGACAACTTTCTGGAAGGAAAAGGGCTGCTGAAGTGTGGGGAAGCTTCCTAACATAACTAGGAGTTAAAGGTGGTAAGATGTTTCTACTGTATATGGATCTTTTAGTGGTAAGGGAAAGGCTGGCTGAATCCCTTTTTTCATGCAACTTTCATTTTATTGTATGCATCTCTGTTATGTTCTTGGTGCCCATTTATTGAAAAAGAAGAGCAAGCATACACAATGTTTCTGGAAATTCAGAATAGATGCTGATGCTTTGAACTTCACATATATTATGTATTAGAAGGAGCACATCTGTACATTGCTTAATAAACTATGAACATAGAGAGAGAATAACAATTTTAAAAATTGAGAATAGCAAGGTAGCACATACAAACTTCTGGAGAAATCAGGTAAATAGTTCTATACAGGAAGTTAGCTATTTCATCTTAATTGTTTGTAAAAACTATATTCAATGATTAGATAAAAGTATTAAAAGTCAAGAAAAATATCTTAAGCCAACCAGATATCTGTGATCACAATGTTGGTTTGTTTATGAATGATTTGTACTTCAGGATATACTAATAAATAGAAAACTAAAGATAAACAATAACCTACAATTAACCCCCAATTATTATTTTAGTTTGAGATACATAGGGTATTTGATAACCTGTCACTTGTAGCTTCTAGAGTTAGTGTGTCCAATATTATATCCAGTAGCCAAATGGTTATTTAAATCTACATTAATTAACATTAAATAAAATTCAGTTCTTCAGTCACACTAGCCACATTCAAGTGCTTAGTAGCCACATGTGGCTTGTGGCTACCATATTGGACAACACAGAACATTCCCATCATCACAGAAAATTTTATTAAGTGGTACTATAGAAGTCTTTCGTTTCATTTCCCTCCCCTTGAAGAGAAAGGAGAAGGCGGAGAAAGAGAAGATTTAGTAGTTCTTAGCTGTATTTAAGAATTTGGATCTCAGAAAGGCACAATGGAATAATGAAAAAAGACAGCCAACCCAGCTTTGAGTCTCCACCGTTATTTTGACAAATTCACTTTAATCTCCATGAGTCGCCGTTTGCACTCTGAGAAAATAAAACCATTTTTCCCTATATTCCTTTAAAGATTTTTTTATGCAGATTAACTAAATGTACAAATGCACTTACTTTAAAAACCTGATGTCAGTGCAACCCAAATAAAGCACAGCTGCTGGTACAGTACCAGCACGCATTTGCATCCGGGGGGAAAATGTCCACCAGTCCACACAGCATTCAAAGACAGTCAGATCAAACACATTTCTTGAGAGACTGCCAAAACAGGATACAGTCAAACCAAACAGCAAACTTGCTTAAGTTTCTTTTCCCTCATCTCAATATTTTGTGTTTCTATTTCATCTGTGTGACATCTCTCCCAGCTATCCATCCTCTCCCACACCAAAGTCCCCTGGGTTCACCCTTCAGCTGGCTCTATTCTTTATTATGTAGTCACTTAGCCTCTCTGGTTTCTTCTGATTCCCCAGTTTATTCTCCACAGCAAAGGGAGGCCCAGAAGCTGACCAGCTGGCTTCTTTTTAGAAGGAAATACCTCAAACACAAATACCTTTAAATATTTAGTTTATCCCTGTAACACAAATGTAAGGAGCTGTCACATTAAAATATAAATGTGTGGAACTTAATTGTAAAAAATTTACAAATGAAAACTATATAAAATGAATAAAATTAATTTAAATTATGCTAATATACAGATAACATATATTCTCGGATTAGTATAATGTATTAAGGTTTGGCAAAAAAAAATCTTATGTTATTTCCTCATTCTAAAAGAATATAAATTTGGTGATGCCCCTAGGGTCTGTTGTACATTTGAGGAAAAGTTTTCCAAGAACCCATGTTGTGGTTCAAGACACTTCCGTTCTGTGATAAGAAATGAATATTTAAATAAGACTAACTGAGAAATAGAGCCTGTGGTTATGATTTCTTCCTCCTGTGAAATCTTATTTTGCTTTGCATTCCATCGGACATTTTTCAGGTATTTTATTGCGATGTGCTCTACTAATTCCAAAAGTTGCTCTTGCTTTTTCTTTCCCATCCCTGCCCCAACTCTTGGCTTCAGCATCCGTATACCAGAATCATGGGACGCCATCTAATTCAACTTCTTGTTTTCACAGACCAGAAAATTGAGGCCTGCTGAGAAAAGTAATTTTCCCATTGTCTGAAGTAGGTCTTGAACACTCCTGTCAGGTTATTTCTGTTCTAATTTTCCTGCCTACACCCCTTTGTCAGCACATGAGGCCAGCCAAGCAGCTCAGCAGGCACAGTCCGTCTCAGAGCTAGCTTTGTTCCGTTTGCCTGTCTACTCTGCCCTGCAGGACAGTGGACCAATCTTCCTCTATCATATCGCTGTCTCAAGAATGGTGCCATTTTCATAATCACCAGTAATTTCAAGTTCTAGTTATTACAGGGTTTTTATTCGCTTCTTAAACTTTCTGAACTTTATTGCCCTAAGAAGGCTTTGTTAAGCAGATACGAGCTCTGTGGGATTACCTCTTACATATATAGTAATATTCCATTGTGTTTGCAGAGTACTTTGACTCATTCCTGTAATTGTTTATTCATTCAACCACTCAATCAACTTAAATATTTATTGAGCACCTACAGGAACCAAGCTCCTGTACTAGATCTGTAGTATATGAGTATAGTAATAAATACAAGTAGTGAGAGATCAGGCATGCCACTGATAATTGTAGTATGGCGAATCCCCAAACACAATTTGGCAAGTAGCTGTGATCAATATTATTACCCTATCTTATTTCCAATTCCAATTTTCTATTCTACTTAGATAAGGAATTATCGAGAATTTTCCCAAAGAATGTTTCTGAAATGTGGTACATCAATGCATGCACATCTGTACTGTTTGCTCTATTTCAAATGCTCTCTTAATTGCATTGATGAGAAAAGTTACTCATTCAAAGTTGTCCCAGACCCTGGAGGACTTTTCAAGCCACTTGAATTCTTTTTGACTAAATATAATAGTTCACTTTTTGCACCAATATTTCTGTTGTGCCTTTGTGAATTATTAACATTATAATTTTAAGGTATTCCAGAAGCACCAGTGTATCAAAGAAGCATTTGCACTTTAGGCATGTGTGGTTGTTTGTCATTTATTAGACTGTCTCAGGTGTTCTCAACCTCAGCACTACTGACATTTTGGGGCCCATTATTCTTTGTTGGGGAGTGGAGCTGCAAACTGTCCTGTGCATTTGGCTGTTTCCAAGTTTCTACTTCTGCTAACTGTATGCCAAAAATTCTGTCTCCTCTCTCTCTCTTTCTCTTTCTCTCTATCTTTCACACACACACACACACACACAAAACACACAATCTAGTTATGACAACTAATGTCCCCTAGGGTGGGATTCGGAAATCTACTGGATTAGCTAGTAAGCTTCATTTTTATCATAGATAGGTTTTTATTTACAACAAGACTGGAATCATAAACTCTTTGCATTAAAAAGGATTGTAAAAAGTCAGTAATTCAGACACAATCCAATATCATCCTTATCTATTGCTCCATCTTTCAGTTCTACAAATTTACTGAGCGAAGATGTAAAGATTGGTAATCTCTAGAAACTTGGGAATTGACTTTTTAGTAGCTAGTGATCAGGCTGTTCGGCAGTTGGGCTTGCTGGTGTAGCAGCTGCTGCAGTGGTATTCACTTCAGTTTGTAGACTTGGCTTCACAAAACTTCAGTGTCTCAGAGACTGCTTTAAGGAGTTTACTCCTGGTCACGTCACACATCTACAAATCTTGTTCCTTCATCTTTACGTTCAAAATGTGCAGAGAAGTTGAAGTTTGGTGCTTCTAATTTTAAGTGTATCTGGTGAATTTTCTATTTCTGATACTGATTGTTTTTTATTGTCTCTCTATGGGGAAAAAATTTTAAAACCTTTTCACTATCCCGAGTAATTGAAAATTGGAAGTTTCAGATCAAGCCAAAGTTTCTACTGATCTGATGTGCCTTATGTCAGTTTTCCTGTAGGGTTAGTGATTTCCTATGGATAACTCTGAATCCATCCATTAGTGCTTGTGTCTTTTCTACACCAATTAAAACACTTGGTGAAGTTCTACAAAGCCTGCCTCTTAAGAATAGTCCCAAAATTAACAGCAACCCCTCCACTGGCCTATCAGGTCTCCCTGTATTCCTTTGCTGAAAGCCCAACCCAGACTCTGAAAGCACTCATAATTATGGACTACAAGTCACTAGTATGGATACACAATTGAAAGCCTGGACTACAAAGTCAAAGCGTATAGAATATTGACAAGCACACCCAGAGTGAGCTCTCATAAGACAGTTGCAGAAATCAGAAAACCATAACATAGAGGGCCTCAAGTATGCATATAATTTTCTACTCTGCTACTGTCATGTCAGACAGTATGGTATTACTTAACATTTTGATTAAGTGGATCTTCAATTTCAACTTAAATTATAATAGAATAGCCTAATTATTGCCTCACATAACTTTTAATCCATTTAGTGCCCTCTGTTCTCACATTGATTATTGAAAAGAAGTAAGATGATAATTATGAAAATAAAGTTATATAATTTCTTAAGTCATTTCTCCATAGAAGTTTATGGAATACATCATCATTTGCTGCTTAATGTTAATTCTTGTTCATTTCCAGATCATTATTCACACTATAAGAGTCAATGTTACTTTAAACCCAGAATAAAAAGTTGGGAAAAAAACAATGCAAATCATATGCTGGTACTCATCCTTTTCTAATTTCTAAGATTTATAAACATTTGAGAATTACTAAAAAAAAATTCTCTCCTAACGAAATACAGTGAAAGTGTTGACATGGCAGATAGTGACATGTTAATTTTGAAGCACATCCTCTCTTTTCTCAAGCATTACAAAAAATTATGTCACTTACTCATCATGCAGCTATAAGCCTTTTGTGCCTACAGAATAGACACATAGAATGAAACTAATTTTAGAAGTTTGTATGTGGGGAAAGATAAACATAAGAGTGGGTGGATGGGAATGATTCACAGAAAAAATAAAGATCAAAATATGCTATCAGGCAGAGGTTTTAATTTTCTCTGAGCAATGTGCAAATAAATATTCCAGTAGGATCAGCTCAAAGTTAGGTCATTCAGATAGTGGGACACAAATCCTGCAAATCATGCTAGAAACACGTGACATAAAGAAAGTAAAGGATGCCCCCAATTAATCAAAAACTTGGGCATCGTCCACCTGTTCCTCTCCTAGAGCACTGATCCTAAATCACTGAGGCCTTTGTTGTAGGGACCTGGGTTACTTATGGTCAGGTAATGACCAAAAAGAGACTTCCCATTCATCTTCCTGTGACTTACAAACCACATTCTTTGGTTTCCTCATACCAGAGACCACGTGGGAGCCACAACACACAGGCAATTTTAAAAAAAAAAGTAATTTTTTTAAGGAAAAGATAAGAAAGGGCACTTTCAACTGTGGACCCATAGCAGGATCTCCGTGAAGTCTGACCATCTCAGGGCAGACTCCAGGACTATTGTCTAGACATAGTAGTGGAATTTGTGATCATTTTAACAGTGTTTGAACAAAAACATGCTCAGATTGTCATATTTGTAGCAGGGCAATAAAATCTCAAATTAAGTGTCCTCTACCAGGCTACTTGGAAAATACCATTAAGTAAAATCAGAGCTTCCCTTGCTAAGAAATGTTAAAAATCACTTTAGGGAAATAAATTAAGTTTCTCTGGACAGACATTTTGTATGTATTATCACTAAATCTCAGGGCCCTAGCTGAGAGGGGAAAGTCTTTCACAGGTTGGTCAAAACAAATCTTTCACTTGCTTCATTTGAGGCATTTGGGCAGTGCCTGGGAAGTACACTATTTTCAGAGGGAAAAAGAGACAGCCTTTTTTGCATGCCAGCTGGGATCATGGGAACTCCCAATGCCAGGAATTTACTACTGTTTCTGGTAACTCTGCTTGTAGCAATTTGAAACGTTGAAGTGTGAAAGGAGAAGCTGGGCACCCGGGGGCTGTCTGTGTTTTATGCCAGTTGCACCAGCACACAGAATATTTGTAAATGCATTTCGAAGTGGGTATAATTGTAGCCTTTGTCAGAATCACAAAGCCCACTGTGGTGCTGCTGAGAGAGAACACTGGGGGGAAATCTGACCCTCTGAACCCAGTCAACCTCAAACAAGGGAGGAGGACTGTGTGGGTGAGCACAGCACATAGCAGGTTTGTTTCTCACTCTTTTCCAAAGCACAGTCCGTCCATCAAATCAAGGACGTGTCTTTCAGGCGAAGGTTAATTTTGCGGAAGTTTTCCAAAACTTCATTTACTACAGGGTTTGGAAAACGGAGTATTTTGCATTTAGTCCAGTCCTCTGGGCGTCGTGTCTGCTTCCTCGGCCATGTTAATCAGACGTTCTGGGCTGCACTCTCTCAGGCAGAGAATAACATCTTCATACTCCACGATGACCTCATGCTTGATGTACCTGAACCTGCAAATGTAAAAATGATTGTATCTGATTTTGCACTAAATGGTGTCTGATAGCAGAAGAGATGTGATCTTTATTGAAATCTACTGTTTAAATTCAGTAATTCAGATGCTACATACTTCTGCAAGTTTCTTGCTTCTTTTCACTGTAAGAATAATTATCTAAGTTTGAATGTATTTCCTTACAGCTCATCAATTTACCATCTCTCTTTTACCTGGAGATCCTATGATTGCAATAATTCATTAAAGGTTTCCTCACACAGCTTCTTAAACCAAGTGTTTCTATAATTCTTCTGGTTCTGCTTACAGTATGTGGGAAATCTTTTTTTTTTTTTCTTCTTCTGAGTAATGAGTTTGTAAGAAAGCCAGTGTATCTATCGACTGCCATGGTGACATAATTCATCTTTAAAGGTCTGGAGGCGGGTGGTAGCCAAATGTTACCTGTGTTCTCTCTGTTGAATGCTAGTTTCAGGATTAAATCACGTTTGATTTTGGTTTTCACTTTCAGTTAAAGTCAACAAATTTGGGATCTTAGAAGGCGGAGAAGGGAACAATTTGTGTAATACTGCTGTCATATTTAACTACATATTAAAAACAATAAATGATCATTTTGTTTTAATTTCTTAAATATGTTTACCCTTGTCTTTCAACATACTCTGTTTCCTTTCCACTGTTAGCCTTAGAGACATTTCACCTGTTGTGGGAGAAAAGTCAACAAAGTGTCCAGAACCACAAGCTAGTGACAAAAATCCTTTTTCTTCTAAACCTGCCCTAGTTTGGGGACTGATCCCAACTAGCAGGAACTGTAGAGAGTAAAGGGCCCAGAACAGCATAGATGCTGCTGCGTGGAGGCTTGGCCCCTACCCACAACCCACAGAGCCCACATGTTGAGTTCTTCTAGGTCAGAGAGGTGGGGTTTTAGCGGCCACCTTTAATCCAACTACTAGAAGTCAAGGAGTTTCAGTTCAGCTCTTGCCTCTGTCACTAGTCCTGGTTTATGAGCTCTAATAACTCTCCAAGTGAGTTACTGAAGTTTCTCAAATATTCCATCCCCTTTCCCAAACTGGAAATGATGGTACCTGTTTCTCAGGGGCTTTTGGGTATGCATCTCAGCTAATTTTTGTACAAGGTCTGAAGCAAGATGTTAGGGTTTCCAAATATTCTTTCCCTGTTTCCTCATCCACCATCCAAGGACTATCCTTTAAACAACCACCAAATGTGCACAGGCCTGAACCCAGGGCCTGGCAGCAGGTGCTGGAAGCTGTCGGGAATTCCAGTCAAAGGAGGAGCAGTTGCTCTGTGCAGCTCCATCCTGCCTTTCTAAGTCTTACTTCTGTGTGGATCTTTTGGACTGTATCGCTTATACTTTGATATCATGGAGTAAATTCAGAACTGCAATTTTAAATGGTGTGAATTGTCTTTTTGATGCCAAAGGGGCAAAATTACTGCTGCAAGTCATGCAACTTTCCCTAAGAACAGGAAAAAAACTTAAGGTCAGTGCTTTTAAAAATCATTAACATGTGCCATCTCTTTAAATAGTGCAATGCAAGTATTAAAGACAGATGCTAATGACAGTCATGCAACTTTTAAATTAGCTGTAGATATGTCTCCTGTGAATCTGGAAACCACGTCTTCTCCTCCCAGGTCACCTACGTCAGAATCAGAATCTTCTGCCAGGAAGTTGGGAGTGTTTTCCCCTCAGTTTATTTTAACAAACATTTATCAAATGTGTAACCTGTACTATAAAATCTGCTTGACTCCAAGGCTACAAAAACAAAAAAAGACAAGGTCCCTGGTTTCAGTTAGCCTACAGCATAGTGGGGGAGACAAACATTTGAACAAATATGGCAAATAATGGATTACAGGTCCCAGGACAGAAATATTTACATGATACAGGGAAGTCACAGGAAAGGAAAGAGTTCATTCAGCATGGAAGGAATCAGGAGAGTTCCCACAGAGCAAGTGATATTGAACTTGGTCTTGACAGGTGAGTAGGATTTCACCAGGGTCAGCACAGACATATTAGGCCAGCTGCTGTGAGCCAATAGACTGGCTGTGAAAGAGGGAGCAAGGAGGGGATGGCAGAAGAGTAGACAAGGCCAGAGAGTTAAGACCCTGATTACCTCAACAAGACTTCAGAGTCTATCTTCAGAGATGTAGGTGCAATTGAAAGCGTCTAAACAGAGGGGTCAAATCATTCAAACTGTTTTAGAAATATCACCCAGTAGGCAAAGTGATGGGCGAATTGCAGGGGAAAAAGCTGGGGACCATTCTGGAGACAACTGCTCAAGTCTGGCCACTGCTCCCCAGCTACTATTTTTTCTTAGTCCTCAGGTCTGCTCTCCACATCTCTAGATCTCAGGCCTCTACCAAAGAAACCCGAGCCCAACAGCATGTGTGAAATGCCCACTCCCTTTCAGCAAATTAAGCACTCCTTTTCCCCAAAAGTAACAACACAGCATAATTTGCCAGATTTCTACGTGAAATCAGCTGGACCTGCCAAGGTGTACCAATCTGTACAATAAGAGCCCTCTTTTTCATATATAAAAATCCAGGAAAACCCAGACAATCAAGGCCACCTGAAGTGGAAGTTAACTTTCCTCCTAGATGATGATAAAACAGGATAATGACATACATCAGTTTCCTCCTGGTCAATATAAACTGATTAAAGTATTTGGGGTTTGAATTTAAGGTGTTGTTCATCAAGTAAATGATCCAGTGATTTTTTTTATTTGTTAGTTTGTATAAGGTTAATACTTAACCTGCCAAGTTGTCCTCAGAATTAACGAATTAGTAAATGCTCTGTGGTGATCACAAAGCTCAGGGAATCTGAGTTAAAGAAAGAAATTGGAAAGATCAAATGGTTTAGCTTTCAGAAGGGGACCTGAGGCATGATGGATGAAACCTGCACCAGGGTTACCATCAAATGTCATTAAAGGGCAGAACCAGATCTCAGATCCAGCGGGAAGACAGGGAAAGTCAAGACTGAAAAAAACCAAAGCCAGAGCCTCAGAGGTGTGAAGCAGTCCACAGTGAGAAGAGTTCAGTGCAAACTGCCTTTGGATAATTTGAGAAAACACTGAAGTATTTCAGAGATCTTCAAGGGAGCAGATAAATATGATTTAGTCATCAGGGGAGTTATTAAGATTTAGTCATGAAACCAGTTGGTTCCCATAAACCTGACTACTTTTAAAGACCATGGCCATGAGCTTTAATGCATTCTCAGCATGAGGGTGTACCCTGGAGGTACAAAAAGCTTGTAGAAGAGCAGAACCCAACAGTTGCCTCCCGTGTGCCTCCCACTCACAGGTAACCAGATTTCATACCTGTCCCCTACTACCCTAGGGTGGAGCATGAACATAGGCAGGGCAGACAAGAGGGTGGAAGGGGAGAGAAGACAGGATTGCCAACAGGAAACTACTGCCTTAGCTGACGCTGATTCCCTCGTGCAGGCAGTGGGCATGTTAAGCTGTCATCTACATATGTGCTTCTTCAACTCTAAACATAGGGCAATTATAGTTTTTGGAAATTTTAAAAATGTGTCAAAAAAAGAAAACCAATGAGGGTCCCTTAGAGTCTGCTACTCTGGGCCGTGTGGGAACCCCACCCTCCACTCAGTGACTGGCTTATATTTTCTGATTCCTACCACTTTGAATACACACAGAAATGTACTTGGCCACCCAGAATAAATACACTTCACAAATGCCAACATCTCTTGATAAATGTTAATTGGCCCCTTTTAATGTGCATTCCTCTTAACAGCGGCAACAAAATTTACTTGGAAGTTTTACACTTCTACCAGATATTCTCCTGACAATTTTTTTCAGTGAAGTTTACAAATATTTAGGAGTTGCAGAGTAGCACTGGACTATTTTTCTCCCCAGATTTCTCTATACAATTGCAATTTAGATTTCCTTCCAAAAGGATTTATCGTGGTGCTAGCCTTGATGGAATGTGAAGGAAACTTCTTCAACTGCAGTTTGGCTGTTAGCCTAGAGGATGAGATGCACAAATTATTCTAAATGCCATAAGACCTTGCATTTTATTTCCTTCTAGAATGTTTTAAATCCGCATCAGAATGCCTTGAAGTGAGATTCTGAACAAGCAAGAGCAAATCGCAAGAAACAGAGCTAGTGACTTGCAAAAAAAAAAAAAATGAAGTATCTATTCGTTTTTGTAAAATGCTGTCATTTAGAATTTAATTAAATGTCTTTTTTGTTTTTTTCCTAAAGAAATGTCTGTTATTTGAACAAGACCAGAGATCTCAGCAGGTTAAGCAGTAGTCAGCAAATAAGAAAGGAGCCCTGCTGTTAAGGAAGAACGTGGAAAGGAGGGCTTCAGTATCACAGGAGACTCCCAGTAGCACGGAGCATAATAAAGGGGCAGTGTGGGTGAGCAGGGGGGTGGTATGTGGAGGAGAAAAGGAGTCATGTGGCTTTTCTGTTGTTTTATGTGGTGCCCTGATATGAAGCTTTATTGAGGTGCTGGGGGCAGAAAGGAGTTCCTTTCCTTCACATAGATCACTGGGGTCAGATTGATTTTCTTGACGTAAAACCACAGCTGAGAGCTGACCTGGCTGTCAGTCAGAGCTCAGAAAGGCACTTGGTCCTTCATTTCCCCTTAAAACCAGGAAGAGGGCCCAGTGGTGACTGCTTTTTGCCCTTCTAATAAATGTCCAGCCAGGATACCCTTATTATCAAGAGCTTCCTCAGAGGCATCTGCTCTCAAGTTTACTGAAGTCAGTTTCCTAAGATAAGTTTTCTCTCTCTGCCAATAACATGAAGTATTAGGCCATCTGACACCCATGTAGTAATCAAGCAGTGAACTCTGCCACATCTCTCAACTGACCTCTGAGAAGGGGGCTTTCTTACTGATAACACAACGATTGAAATAGCACTGCTTTTCTAGGATTAGTGTGACAAATAAGTGACCTAAAATATTTAGTGTTGCGTTATGCTATAACACTCAATAAAAGTTACTATTTATGCCATCATTATTGTTTTTCATGAAAGGTGCATTGATTCTGGTAGCGAAAATGCTGTCTTGGTCCTTAAGAAGATAAATTTAAGGCCAAAAACAGAGAGGAACAGTGAACTGAAAGGATGGAATTGCACAGGAGGAAAGCTACTCTCCTTAGAGTCTTCTCACTCTCACTGCCAGTCTCATTTCTCTCCACTGTCTTTGTCAGTCTGTTCTTTATCCGTTCTGAGAGATCTACCAGAGTAAGAAGGAGGTTTAAACCTCATTCATTTTTATGAAGAATAAAAAAATGCCAAACACAATAAGAAATCTGTATTAAACACTTGGGCCCTGGCTGGTGTGACTCAGTGGATTGAGTGCCATCCTCTGAACCCAAGGGTGGCTGGCTCAATTCCCAGTCAGAGCACACGCCTGGGTTGCAGGCCAGGTCCCCTGTTGGAGGCATGTGAGAGGCAACCGCACACTGATGCTTCTCTCCCTCTCTTTCTCCCTCCCTTCCCTTCTCTCTAAAAATAAATATAAAATCTTTATTAAAAAAACATTTGGTCATAGAATTTAAAGAAGTACCTGCATACACACACACAGTTGACCTTGAACAACGCAGGGTTAGTCAAAAATTCATCTATACCTTTTGACTCCCCAAAAACA